GTAGACGGTGCTCTCGCCGAAGTGATGGTTTCAACTACCTCTTGGGGTAGGTCACCTAAAACCTCCGCGTCCCGTCCAGGGACCAGACAAGAAGTTTCCAGAAGTCTGGATGCGGGTGCCACAAGGTGCCCCGTCTCTGAGTCAGTAGATCCTTCCTCAGAGGAATCTGCCAAGGAGGGGCTGTCACGAGGAGCATCAGTTCCGGGAACCAAGTCGGAGTGGGCCAGTAAGGCACCACGAGCAAGACCTGCTCCTCGAGGCTCACCACCTGATCCCTGAAGGGAGTAGTGGGAACCTTGGGCACATAGCCGGGCCTGGGCCTCAGGATTACCTGGGAGTCAGCCGGCCCGAACTCTAGGCACGAATCGTCGACGGAAAATGCATGCAGGTCCCCTATCCTCTTGATGGAGGCCAATGCATTAAGGGTGGAGGGACACAGCCTTCGCTCCAGCCCCTGCTGTAGAAAGGACAGCACGACTCTGATCTGACATTTCCGGGTTCCTCAGAGGAATCTGCCAAGGAGGGGCTGTCACGAGGAGCATCAGTTCCGGGAACCAAGTCGGAGTGGGCCAGTAAGGCACCACGAGCAAGACCTGCTCCTCGTCCTCCCTGATCTAGCACAGTGTCTGTGCGAGAAGGCTCACTGGGGAAAACGCGTACTTGCACAGGCCCCGCGGCCAGCTGTGTGCCAGTGCGTCTGTGCGTTGATGTACGCAACGGTCACAGTGTTTTCCGTGCGGACTAGTACGTGCTTGCCTCGTAAGCGCCCTTTGAGACGCATCAAGGCAAGGCACACTGCCAGCAACTCTAGGCAATTGATGTGACAGTGCAGTTGGGGGCCCGTCCAAACCCCTGATACTGCAAGCCCGTCGAACGTGGCACCCCAGCCAGTGGTAGAGGCATCTGTGTGAACCACAGCATGTCCTCGACCAAATCCAACTCCATACCGAGAAAAGAGATCCTCTCCAAGGAGAGTTTGCTCTTTTCCCAGTTGACCCGAAGGCCCAACTAGCTGAGATGCGAAAGCACCAAGTCCCTGATCTTGATCCTGATCCTGAAACTGAGCTAGTACGAGCCAGTCGTTGAGGTAGTTGAAAATGTGAATGCCCTGTTCTCTCAAGGGAACAAGGGCTGCCTCCGCAACTTGCGCGAAGACACAGGGCGACAGGGAAAGCCCGGAGGGCAGGACCTCGTACTGATATACTCGTCCTTCGGACGCGAACCGCAGCAATGGTCTGTGGTGCGGAAGGGTCGACACATGAAAGGACGCG